GAACACCAGTCTAAAATTCTTCCATCTGCATTGTTCACCATTGCTACCCAGAAGAATCCAAAACCCACACTATATCAAGACAAACATTACACCAAAATGGAAGTTTCGAACGGCTCTGATTGCTCACCCATAAGTCACGTGACCACCAGCAGAATCGACGTGCAACCGCCACAAAATATCACATCAGCAATAATATATGTGTTGTTCATACAGAGCAATGATCTGAAACAAAAAATACAACAACTCAGGAGCATACCCATGGCTTTAGGAAGAAAAGAAGATCAGAGCATTGAGGAGGAAAAGGTTTACCTGGTTTATCTTCACCTTTGAGAATGATTAGAGTTGTGACCAAAAATTCCCAATAGCAGAGGAAGTAAAATAAATGGAAGGCTCATCAAAGAAGAGAAGAAGACCTGAATAGAAGAGCAACAACTACCTTCACTCACGAATTCTACTGTGTTAAAGCTTGGTCGGACCTTCCTACGGATCTCTGTCATTGTGAGGTTCATTTCTACACATCAATTACTCCTTTATCTTGCTTCAATTTCCTTGTTAATGCTTGAAATCAATTGAACATTGGGGATTTTTAGGGTTTTAATTGGGGATGAGGGTAGTTATTCATTGTTGTCTTCTTCATGATGTTTGTATTAAATTGTGAGGGATATAATGAAATGTTAGTAGAGAGGGATTAGAGGGAGTATTGTTGTTGCCTTCCTTTTACGTATGAAGATGATGAGAGAGAGGAATTTTTTTCTTTTTTGTTTAGAGATCAAGAAGAAGTGTGTATGAGGGAGAAGAGAGAGTGACTTTTATTTCTCTTAGCATTAAATCAGTTTTATCAGTAATTAATAGGATGGTAATTGTTAATTAATGAAAAATTCAAAAGGTGTTGAACCTTCCCAAAGTAAATGAGTGTTCACTCTTCATCTTCAATTAGGGTTTCAAAAAACCCTCTTTATTCCCTCTCAAGTGGATTCGGGTTTGGGCTTGAATTTTTAGCCCAACCCATTTGTCAGTTTTAACTTTTTATAGTTTTTAATTAAATGTATATAACGAATGAACAGTTTGGTGAAGTGGTTGGGGCATTAATCTGGTATGCTTGAGGTCTTGGGTTCGTGACCCATTGAGACACTTTTATCATTATTCTGCTTTTTATCCCCTTTTAACTCAAACTCTTCTTATTTTAATTAAGGTGTGTATATAACAGAAAAGTGCACATGGTTTAGTGGCAAGGCAGGAGAGTGGTAGCCTAATGAACCTGAGTTCAATCCATGAGTTTTAGTTTTAGATCTTTCTCTGTTATTTTATATATATATATATATATATATATATATATATATATATATATATATATATATATATATATATATATATATATATATATATATATATATATATATATATATATATATATATAATTTTGTCTTTCTTCAGTTTAATTAATTTTGGTTGTTAATTATTTAGTTATTTAATTGCTATTTATTTAAATTCTTTTTGATTATTTAGTCTTTATATTTATGTTTGCATTTAAATCAAAGGGAAATGGTTAAAATCGTTGACTTCACATCATCGAATAATATGATTATGAGAAACCCCTTTCATACATTTTAATTTTATTAATCTAAAGACAAGTCTTCTAAACCCTAATTTTAAAACTGGTGCCTCTTTTAAGCCAAAAACTACGACACTAGGTCGTCGCATTTTCAAAATCTCATCCCCACACTCATTTAGCAAGCAGGCTAATTTTAACCAAAAAAACAGATATTTCAAAAGATTCCTATAGGATAATTTAGATACATAGAGTGCTGGTACCTTCCCTTTGTATAACCAACCCCCGAACTTTCGATCTCTTTCAAATGCATTGTATTTTTATTTACTTTTAGTATTGCACTTACTTTGCATATTTATGGGTTTTATTTCACACTTTTACCTTTTCCCTTGGAAATAATAAAGCGCGGTGGCGACTCTTCCTTATTTGCGAGTCAAGTTAATTAATAGTTTGATCTCTAATTTTCACTGCTACGAAAACAAAACTTTGATGTAACCAGAAGTTGTTATTAATCAGAAGCAGAAGCTTCTGTGGTTACGCCCAGAAGTATGCTTAGCTCCTGGGGTTCTGGAGCTAAGTTTGTTTATGTAGCTGTTAAGTTTAGTATTTCCTAGTTTGTAGCTTTTAACTTATTCATTAAGTTTACCTTTTATTAGGGCTTACATGGCAATTTAATTTGTGTATAAATAGACTATTGGTAGCCATCATTTGTAACCTTTAATAATTCCTTTGTAAGCTTTATAATTGTCATTACGGTAAATATATATTCTCCCTTACCTTTCCTTCATTTATTAACTTTGTGCACCAACAATTGGTATCCAGAGCTCTGGTTAGATTCACGGTGAAACATGAGTGAAACAGTGAGCCGTTAGTGTGATTAATTTTGGTTCAAAGTTCATGTTGAATCGTTGAACAAAATCTGAACAAAATCACATTTTTTGTAATTTTTTGGGATTGGGAAACTTTTTGTTTGTGAGATTTGAGTGTTCTGTACAAGGTTGAAGATGACCGGAAATGGTAGTCTAAGCACCAAGCTTCCAGTATTAATGTAAAAAACTGGAATCATTGGATGATTCAGATGTGTGTGTTATTTGGCGCTCAGGATGTTCTTGAGCTTGTTACAAATGGTTATGTTCCAGTTGCAGCAGATGTGATAGAGGAGGGGAGAAATACACAGAGAGATACAAGGAAGAAAGATCAGAAGGTGTTGTTCTTCATCCATCAGTGTGTGGATGAGAACATGTTTGAGAAAATTGGTGATTTGATGACGGAGAAAGCTACGCGGGACACATTGAGTAGGTGTTACGGTGGTGACGCATCAGTGAAGAAGGTGAAGCTTCAGTCCCTACGAAAGCAATATGAGAATCTCAACATGAAGAATAATGAGAAGGTTTCTGAGTACATCTCTAGAGTGATTCTTATCACTAATGAGATGAAGGCTGGTGGAGAAACACTTTTTGAACAATTAATCATTGAGAAAATATTGAGGTCTCTTACTCCTCAATTTAATTACATTGTTGTAGCAATTGAACATTATAAAGATCTGGAAACCATGAGAATAGAAGAGTTGCAAAGTAGTCTAGAGGCGCAAGATTTGTCTCCACTGAAAGAACTTCTGAGAGGGAAGTTGAGTAGGATCTGAAAGCTTCTTTTGTCAAGAAGGACCAGAAGTTGAAAAAACATGGTAGGTCTCAGAAGTCAGAAGTCTTATATTCTGATGAAAAAAACATCAGAAGGGAAATGAGAAGTATGACAAGATAATGGTTAAATGTTATTGTTGTAATAGGTTTGGCCACTTTGCTAAAGATTGTTGGTCAAACAAAGAAGAAGAAAAAATAGTCAGAGGAGATTCAGATGATGAACATGTGCTATTAATGGCTTATGAATCTGATGAGGAACCTGTGAGATTGTCATTTTCTGATTCTGAAGGGGAAAAAGATGATTGTGAATATTCTGACTCTGAAGGAGTGTTTGAATATGAGTCAAAATCAGAATATGACACTGAAGATTCTGAAGATGAGTTAGAATTTGAGGTTTCTGAAGATGAGTCAGAGTTAGAAGATGACTCTAAAGCTGAAGACAAGTCAAAATCTGAAGGTGATTCTGAGTCTGAAGAAGAATCAAAAGATGGGTCAGAATCTGAAGAAGATTCTTCTTCTGAAGATGAGTCAGAACTTAAAAGTTTTAAAGAAGAGTCAGAGTCAGATGATGATTCTGGAAACTCTGGAGATGAGTCAGATGGTGAATCTAATTCTGATCCAGATTTTGATGATGATCCAGAATCTGGTGGTGATCATGGCTTTAGAAGGGAAAACTCTAAAGACGTAGGTTCTGGAGGACAAGATTCTGGAGATGATCATGTTTCTGGTGGTAATCATGTCTTTAAAGGTGGACTTTCTGAAGGAGGGGCTTCTAAAGGTAGTCCAGCTTTTGACGGTGATCATGATTCTGAAGGTGGAACTTCTGAAGGTTATATAACTTTTGAAGATGGTACTTATGAAGGTAGTTGTTCTGGACGAGGTCTGGAAATTAACAAAGGTGGAGCTTCTGGTGGTAGTCGAACTTCGGTTACAGAATTAGAAGGAGGTTCTAAACAAGTCCAGAGGCCATAAAGAAACAAGACTTGGGAGTTAATTATGCTTTTGATGGAGAAGAAAAAACATCAGCGTCAGATGGGTTCTCAAGGAGAAATCTCCATTTTTAAATGAAATATCAAAAGTTGCACATTGTAGCAACCAGAAGAAACTTGTAGATGTTCTGACGAAGGATGTCAAGACTGAGCACTTTATCTGTTTAAGGGAAGAAATTGGTGTTGAAGAGTTTTTGGTTAGCTGAATATGAATTAAGGGATGGTGTTAGAAGTAATTCATATTTAGAAGATGTTGTTGCTCAGAAGCAGTTGAGCTTTTGAGGTTGTTAGCTTGAAGATGTAAGCTTCTGAGACTGCTTAGTTAGAAGCAGAAGTTTGATGTAACCAAAAGTTATTATTAATCAGAAGCAGAAGCTTTTGAGATTACGCCAAGAAGTATGCTTAGCTTCTAAGGTTCTGGAGCTGAGTTTGTTTTCGTAGTTGTTAAGTTTAGTATTTCCTAGTTTGTACCTTTTAACTTAGTCATTAAATTTACCTTTTATTAGGGCCTACGTAGCAATTTACTTTGTATATAAATAGACTAGGGGTAGGTGTCATTTGTAACCTTCAATAATTCCTTTGTAAGCTTTATAGCCGTCATTACAGTAAATATCTCTTACCTTTCCTTCATTTATTAAACTTGTGCATTAACACTTTAGTATCCATCGGAACAGGAGTATATATCCTCATACACTCACATAGTTTCGCGTGAGTGTAAACCATATCCTTCACCTGATCATAACTTACCAATTTCGATTTTGCAGTGATCTCTTTGAGAATCTCATTCTCGACATGACTATGTTTAGAGAGTAACCAACAGAACTATGTGAGTGTTACTGAAGTTGTATCTCTCCAAGCAATGATAAAGCTTATTACAATTTCAATAACAAAAGATTCATCTAAATGACTAGAGTTTATGAAATTCGATAAAAGATTCACAGATTCCAACAATACTATTTTTTCTTCAAGCTCTCTTTTCTTAGCCCTAAAAAATTTTCTGGTGAGTCCTCTTACTTCTGCAACTACTACTTTTAGTCGTCGCTTTGTTCCGATGTTAAGGAATTTGTTCACTTTCCATATCAATGGAGTTACTACGGTTAACCTCTGGCTGCTGAGTCGTGTTCCTTTATCAAAGGTTGTTGCAAACAGTATTTCGTGAAAAGAAGGGAGGAGAAACTTTGGTTCGAATCCCAAAGCTATCGTGCAAATATTATCAAACATGAAACGTTAGAGGATGTCTTGGAAATCATGAGTGGTTTGTTTTTTAAAAAGCTTCGGAGAGAATAGGAAGGAGGCAATTAGAGAGTTCGACATCAACTATAGTTTCAATGAATTTTCTGAGGGATTTCGTGCTAAACTCGTGGCTGGAGATTTTTAGTTGAAACTTCCAAGCCTCATCGTTGACGGTGAAGATTCTGTCGCCGAGCAAATCATTGGTGGATTGGTAAAATATGAGACCTTTACCGTAGCAATGGAAATTCGTTTTGAGATTGTGTTGCACCACGGCAGGGTCAGCCGTGAAGACTTGCGGGAGCCGAAAGAGTAGTGGAAGACGAAGGTGGAGGAAGAGATGGTTTGGAGGATGTCGGAGATCCATTGCACTCGTCTGTCGAAGTTGGATGACAAAGAAAAAGCATAACCGAAGATAGGGTAAACTTTGGGAATTATGGTGGAAGAGGAGGGTGTTTTTGAGGATTTTACTAGTGTCTTAGTAGCTAAGAAGAAGAACCAAACAAGAGTTGCAGAAAAAAGTAACCAGTAAAAAAAAATTTCGAGTTCCATTTAACTTATATCTCTTCATCGCTTCATTGTGGGAAGGTGAATTTTTATTTATCCAACTCAAAAAATTGGGTAAGGTTGCCCTTAATGTAAAATGCATTGAAAACTATTTAATAAATGATTAAATAAGTTAAAATTAAATAATATCATTTAATTGGTTGAATGTACCATATAGAAAAATTGTCCTCTTGTAGAAATGTTATTTTTATAAGGAAAATATTTCGTGTAACCTTCTAACAATTGAGATTTGAATAAACAATTGATACCTAAGTCAACTCTCTCTTGCCAACTTCAATCTACTTGCCAAATTCTAAAAGGTTATAGTTTACTTTTTATTTTTTATTATTATTTTGAATAAATAAAATTTGTTAAAGTTGATTAGACCTGAAGGTGTGCAACGGTATCCTGAAGAAAACGTCAAAGTTATATTGTATTACATCATCCATGAAAACCCACCAATGCTGGGTAATGCCACACGAGACCGGAACAAGGCAAAGCAAACCTTTTTAAATTGTGAAAGCTAAAGTCAAATTGTCATGTAATTACAAAAAATTCCAATAAAACTCTCTTTTTAAGGTAAACAATTATCCTTGTGCATCCAACGAAAAATATATTTGACACGATATAAATATATTATTAAAATATTTAAGTTACAATTGAAATATTATATGAATTAAGGTTATTATTTAATTAGTCAAAGGTGTAGTGGTCTAATTAATAATAAATATGTAGTTAAAAGTATATCATGAAAGGTAATTGTGTATATATCATAAATAAATATCTAATTTAATGAGGAGTCAAATTATAATATTGAAAACTAAGAAATAACTTTAAGGTTATTTATAAGGGTTATGAATAAAACAGTTTATCAGAATTTCTCTCTTCATCTCCATCAGAGGAGAATCAATGGACCATTAAGAACTCTACAAATTGAAATATCAAATACCGTAAATCTTTGATGATTTTCAATGACAAATTCATATACGCTTCCGCTTTCATTCTCATAATTGTATTTCGATATGAGTTTAAGAGTTTTATTTAGAGTTATGTTCTTAATTTCTATATTGATAAAAATTATAAGGTTTATGAACAAATCTAACTAGTAGTATCAGAGTCATCCATATCTTTTAATTTGTATTTGGTTTATGTTTATTTTATGTGGTAATAGTAGGTTATGTTTGAATATGTGTGATTAAAATCTATTCAATTTTAATTTTATTCTTTAATTTTAAAACTGTGATTGCATGGAGTTTTATTAATTATTTGGGATGTGAAATTTATTTTGAATTTCAAATTGTGATATAAAATGTTATTCTAAGTTATTAGTGTATATCGTATCGTTATTTTATGTACGTCGATATTGTAGTTTCTGTTCCTTTATATGAGCAAAATTCATGGATGTGTAAGAATGCAACTATTTAAAGTTCATGTATTTATTATTGACTAAAATATTTAATTTTGTTCTTGTTATTCAGCTACAATTGCTTCAATATCTGATAATTTGAATTTGGTCCCGGTCTTTAATGGGATAAATTTCAAGGACTGGAAAAAGAACATAAAGATTGTTCTTGGCTGCATGGATCTTAACCTTGCATTAAGAAAGGAACAATCTGTTTCTCCTACAGAATCTACTACCTCTGATAAGAGGAAAGATTATGAGAACTGAGATCGCTACAATCGCATGTGTCTCATGATCATTAAGCGCGACATTTATGAGGTAATTAGGAGTACTATATCGGAAGATATAACTAATACCAAATACTTTCTTGCTGAGATTGAAAAGTGCTTTAAGAAACGCGATAAGGCAGAAACAAATACTCTTCTTCAAAAGGCCATCAAAGGTAGTATACTAGCGGATCACCTAGCTCATCAGCCTTTTCTAGAATATCAACCAGTGAAGTTCAACTTTCCAGACGAAGATGTCATGGTTATAGCTGCCTACGAGATACCGGGACCTACTGAGGGGCCTGAACCTGAGGCATGTTGGATACTTATGTTTGACGGTGCTTCAAATGCACTAGGACATGGTATTGGGGCAGTATTGACTTCTCTAAATAATTTTCATAAACCTTATACTACAAGGTTATGCTTTGATTGCACCAACAACATTGTTGAATACAAAGCTTGTATCTTGAGTCTAGAAGTTGCTATTGATCTAAGGATTAAACACCTAGAAGTATATGGAGACTCAACATTGGTCATATACCAAGTCAACGGTGAATAGGACACTCGACATCCAAAATTGATTCCATATAGGGATCATGTTTTGAAGCTAGCTACGGAATTTACTGAGATTAATTTCACTCACATTTTGCGATAAGAAAATCAGATGACAGACTCCTTGGCAACTCTGTCAGCCATGTTTAAAGTAACTTGGCCAAATCACGAATCGCGCATCACGATCAAACATTTTGAAGAACCTGCACATTGTCTTGCCATTGAAGAAGGACTAAATTTCTGTAGAGTATTTAGGGATTTGGGTGCTAGGATTATGGCTCGCATTGACCCAAGAAAGGTATATCTTATTTATCCCTCTTCCGGGAGCCCCTATATGAGTTTATGTATGTCTGCTTTGTGAATGTCATAGAGCTCTCCCCTTCTGGATCCCTAGAGGACCCTTTATATAGTTGTTCACTGGCCTAATGACCATTATTCCACTTTCATAACGTTTGTAATCGTTCATAAGTACTATAACATCCTCATTAAGCATGTGTAACCGCCTATTTAATGGTTTGTAATGTTTATCTCATCAATCACACGTCTGTCGAGCTCATACCCAACAACTTACTCAATGTCGGTCCTCCAGCTTACCCTATATTGGCCTGTATTTCATTCTTTATCTGAGTTTGTAGCTCGGCCTTGATAAAATATCCTGGGATGTACATGAGCCCCTCGGGCACGAGGTCCCAAAAAGAATGAAGTGTTCAGACAAAAGAAACTCAATGTTTTTTATCTCGAGTCCAGGTGTGAAGTCGGATCATCCAACACATATTATAGCCAACTCGTAGCATATTTTTATACATTTCATAAGTTTCAGAGACCTTGTTGTATTACTTCCTAGTGCATTGTGTTTATGCTCATCTGTATCCTTTTATTATTTAAATGTTTTGTATTCTCATAGCAATTCACTTATAGCCCCGTGCGTATATCTAACCGTGTTTAGTACCTTGAAGGTATGCCTTATGCCCATGTCGGAGATATATCCTACCCGACTTTAGTATATGTAAAAGGCCTGATTACCCCGGTTATACTTATGCTTACCAGAGTCTACATCCAACATTTTCATAGGATGTTTCATACTTCCGGTCTGTTTGGTCAGTCACCGATTAGACTATCTTCGATAGTTTCACAAATATTAATGTTTGCTTATCCCTGACTTTTTAGTCGATTGGACCGAGGTCTTCGTTTTAACCCAGAAATCTACCACACTTTAGGATTTTTCAATAGGCATCTAGAGCCCTTTGGGGCTTAACCGAGTTCACACCTTGGTTTAGATAAAATATCCCGGGGTGTATACGCTAAGCCTCCCTGGGCACGAAGTCCACAGGAAAGAAGTGTTCAGATACGACTGGCACGACAATATTTTTGGTTGTTCACATAGAAGCCTTTATTGAGTTTAATATCTTTCGTTGAGGATTTTTTCTCAAACATCTTTATTTAGAGTCCCAAGCTGCTTATAGACTTGGTTCACTTATCTTTATCCTTGGGTGTTTATCTCATGATATAGGCGGAGCCTTTCGGGTACAAAGTTCACTTAAGTGAAGTACTTTATCCGGGTTGTGATGTAACCGAGAGATTTATTTTGCTAATTCTCGACTTTTTGTTATTTGTCATTTGTTATAAGAGCCTGAATACTTGCGACATGATCTATTCCCAAGTTGGGTCTCCCGGGTACGAAGCCCATAAGAGTAAGTGTCTGGATATAAGATACCTGACTTTATGTCACCATTGGCTGATTTATGAAATTAATAAAGTTGCTTCTTTTAAGTGCTTCAAGTCTGTCTGAGGTTGGGCGATCATCCCCTTGTTCATGAGCCCCAAGCAAACTTTGTTAAGTCTGACGGTTACCACAATGGGTTTTATCCATCCTGTTTAGAATACTCTTTGCCATTAAGGTAAGTATTATTTCGCTGGTGATCAAATAAAAGCCCTAGGTTTCATTAGATAATGGTCAAATGTTTATTAACTTGGTCCAAAAGCTATCATGCAAATATTATCGAACGTGAAACGTTGGAGGATGTCTTGGAAATCAAGAGTGGTTTGTTTTTTAAAAAGTTTCGGAGAAAATAGGAAGGAGGCGATTAGAGAGTTCGACATCAACTACGGTTTCAATGAATTTTCGGAGGGATATCGTGTTAAACTCGTGGCTGGAGATTTTTCGTTGAAACTTCCAAGCCTCACCGTCGACGGTGAAGATTCTGTCGCCGAGCAAATCATTGATGGATTGGCAAAACATGAGACCTTTACCATAGCAATGGAAATTGGTTTTGAGAATATGTTGCGCCATGGCAGGGTCAACCGTGAAGACTTGACGGGAGCCGAAAGAGCAATGGAAGAAGAAGGTGGAGGAAGAGATGGTTTGGAGGATATCGGAGATCCATTGCATTCGTCTGTCGAAGTTGACTGACAAAGAAAAAGCATAATCGAAAATAGAGTAAGCTTTGGGAATGGTGGTGTAAGAAGAGGGTGTTTTTGAGGATTTTACTAGTGTCTTAGTAGCTAAGAAGAAGAACCAAACGAGAGTTGCAGAAAAAAATAACCAATAAAGGAATGATTCGAATTCCATTTGACTTATATTTCTTTATCGCTTCATTGTGGGAAAGTAAATTTTCATTTATCCAACTCAAAAAATTGGATAAGATTACCCTTAATGTAAAATGTATTGAAAATAATACACAATTATACTATTTAATAAATGATTAAATAAGTTAAAATTAAATAGTATCATTTAATTGGTTGAATGTACAATATAGAAAAATTGTCCCCTTGTAGAAATGTTATTT